ATGTGAGATGAAGTTTCACAATCCTTGTCTCTAAGGAGAACTCTGGCTTCCCCTTTTCTAAGACATATCTGGTTGGGTTGTTGTTGTTTAGGTTTTTTTGGTTGTTTCTTTTTTTTATTTAATCTATGGTCAACTAATTTTTTAATATCTATTTGTTCTGTTCTCAATCCATGGACTATTTAGCCTTCTTCTTCAGTACCACAACTCAAAGGCATCAACTCTTATGTCATCTTTATTCATTGTCCATTTCTCAGACACATAGAAAGTGCTGGAGAATACCATGGTTTGAGTCAGGTGCACCTTGGTCTTCAAACTTACATCATTGCTGCTCAGTACTTTGGAGAGTTCCTTTACAGCAGACTTTCCCAATTCAATCAAGTCTAGGAGCTCTGGTGGTAAGCAGCTGCACTGATTGGCTCCTTAATTCATTCAAACTCACACAAGGGAAGATGTGAACACTTTAAATTGAGAAAATTAATTTTTGGGGTAGTTTTGGGAGATGGTTTGGTATTATTTTGGTTTTGGAGCAGAAGCATTGTCTGGGATGTTTGGCAGCTTGAGGCAAAGACTTTTTCTCTGCACAGGTTGTCACATACACATTGCCTGACTGGGGAGTATAAAGAATCCAGGTTTAATAGTGCTAAGGAAATAAGTACCTGCCATTTATGAGACAACCAAAAGGAAGTGTGGGTCTCAAATAAGAGAACCTATTAGAGCAGTCCATTTTAGGCTAGTATTCATAGGGTTGGCTTAGAACTTGCTTCAACAGGGGTAAGTGACACAGGGATTAGTGTTGTTAGTTCCGGGTTTCAGCACCAAATGAAAGGTTCCGGTTTTGTCTTCCTTAATTAGTTCAAACCCAGAGACTGTGCTGACAAACAACACTGGAGACTGTGTGTAGCAACATGCTGTTCAATTAACACCTAGATGTAAGCAGGTTAAGACCCAATGTGGCATCAACATAGACAAAGAGTAAACCAGAGATATTTATAGTTTCTAGTCAACAGGAAGAGAGCTCTGGTGACCAACTGGCAAGAAGCTGCACTGCAATCCCAAAGGCACACAATTTGAGGCCACCAGCTGCTCCATGAGAGAAGAATGGACAGTCTCCTCCCATGTGATTAATGGCCTCTCATTAACTGCCAGAGGGTCAGCTGTGGGTCAGTTCTGACTCTATAATACCTAACAACAATAGTCACTAGGAAATGTTACTTGATCCAGCAGCTTACTTGCTGCCTAGCCCTGCCCTCTTTGGCCTCAGGGCCTACATGTCTTCTGGCCAACTAGCTGTCTTCTTTCTTCTGTTTTCTGTTCCCTTGGGGGGTTGATGTAACTGGCCTTGTGATTTAAGGCTGGGTTTTAGGAGAGCGGTGATTTATTCTCTCAGGCTTCCAGGCCCAAGAGAAAGCTGACAAATCTACCAGCTGCTCTGCAGGAAAAAGGTGGGTAATCTCCTCTCATAAAATTTACTACCTTTGAAAACCTGCTGGGGAGCTAGCTATAGGCTGATTTCAACTTCATGGCATACAACAACTAAGCAATACAGCCAACACAATCAAGTCTCCTCTGACTCATAGCAGTCCTTGACAAAAAAATGAAACCTTGCCCAGTCCTGCACCATCCTCACAACCCTCACCTTTATTGTTGTGGTTGTTAAGTGCCATCGAGTCGCAGGCCACTCATAACGACCATATGAACGAAAGTCCTGGACACTTCCTGTATAACTTTTGTCCTTCTCCAGGTTCATAGGTTTCCAGAGGCAAGCTATTGAGGAAATGGATGCCACTCCTCCTTCCAAGCTTGTTTTCATCAGGGAGCTTCACCACTGTCCACCATGGCTAACAGTATTTAACACTATTCAGCTTAACAGCAACCACGAGCTACCTCTGTACAGCAAGTGAACATACCAGGGTTACACAACCTAGAAGAATATTTCACCAAAAACAATTAAAGGCAGGCCTGAGGGCCTGATGGGATTTGAGGCGTGGGCCTGGAGCAGGCTCACAGGCTCGACCCCACACTTAATTACCCTTTCTTGAGGGGTCAGGGCCGGTCGGCCACCCACCTTTGAAGGCCTAAAATGGATAGTAACACACAATGCAAAAAACCCCAGAAATTTCCCTTGCCTGACTGCTACCAAGAGGAGCCGCCATGGAGGCACCAGCCATCCCACCTGCTTAGCCAGCTGACTTCCAGAGTGGAGGGAGACTCTGTTCCACAAGCCTTTAACCTTTATTCAACCTGTTTTATACCTACTGTGCCAGTATCTGTCTCATTGAAGGTCTTCTTCTTCATCACTGACCCTCTTCATTACCAAGTATGAGATCTTCCTCCAGAGACTAGACCTGATGACATGCCCAAAATATGTGAGAAAAAGCCTCCCTGTCCTCATTTCTAAACTCTTCTTCTAAGACAGATTTGCCAGTCAATGGTACACTTAGTGTTCTTCCAATTGATGCAAAGGCATCAGTTCTTCAGCCTTTGCTATTCTTTGTCCAGTTTTCACATGTGTTTGAGGTGGTTGAAAATACCATAGGTTTGGTCAGGTGCACTTTAATCTTCACAGCAAAAACTTTACGCTTTGGCGCTTTAAAAAGAGATCCTTGTCAGCAGATTTACCCATTTCAGTACGTTGATTGATATTTGCTGCTTCCATGGGCATAGTTTATGGATTAAGGCAAAATGAACTTCCTGGTAACTCGATCTTTTCTCCACTTATCATGATGTTACTTGTTGGTCCACCTGTGAGGATTTTTGTTTGCTCATTGTTGAGATGTAATCCATACGGGAGACTATAATTTTTGGAGTTTCATCAGTAAGTGCATTAAGTCATCATTTTTTGAAAAATTATATCATCTACATATTGCAGGCCCAGGAAATTAAAAGGCACATTGCCATGGGAAAGTTTGCTGTTAGGGACCTCTCCAAAGTGCTGAAGAGCAATGGTGTCTCTTTGGAGACTAAGGTGTGTCTGATATAGGCCATGGTCTTCGCAATCACCTGTTATGCATCAGAGAGTTGGACAATGACCAAGGAGGATAGAAGGAGAACTGATGCCTTTGAGCTGTGGTGCTGGAGAAGAGTACTGAGAATACCATGGACTGCTAGGAAAACAAACAGATTTATCCTGGAAAGGATTAAACCGGGTGGATCCTTGGAGGCAAGGATTCTGAGGCTCTGTCTAACATACTTTGGACATGTTGTGAGGAGAGACCAGTCCTTGGAGAGGGACATCATGCTTGGGAGGGTGGAGGGACAGTGCAGGAGAGGAAGGCCCTCTATGAGGTGGATTGATTCAGTGATTGGGATAATTGGGATGGGAGTGTCGGAGACAGTGCGATTGGCACAGGACAGAGCGGAGTTTAGGGCTGTTGTACATAGGGTTGCTATGAGTCGCAGGCGACACGATGGCACATAACAACAACAACAACAACAACAACATAAAAAATATCAGTAATGTAAAAACTACAAGCAAAATACTGCTGAAGATCATTCAAAAACAACTAGAACAGTATAGAGATAGGGAACTTCCAGAAGTTCAAGCATGTTTTAGAAGAGGCTGTGGTACCAGGGATATTACTGCTGATGTCAGATGGATCCTGACCGAAAGTCAAGAATACCAGAAGAATGTCTATTTGTGCTTTGTTTACTATGCAAAGGCTGTGACTCTGTGGATTATAACAAGTTGTGGCTGACATTGAGAAGAATGGGAATTCCAGAGCACTCAGGAGGCTGTTGTGTGAACAGAGCAAGAGAACGTGGTTCAAAATTAAGAAGGGAATGTGTCAGGATTGCATTCTCTCTCCATACTTACTCAATCTGTATGCTGAGAAAATTATTTGAGAATCTGGACTCTATAAAGAAGAATGTGGCATCAAGAATGGAGGGAGACTCCTTAATAACCTGAATTATGCAGATGGAACAACTTTGCTTGCTGAAAGTGAGGAGGACTTGATGCACTTGTTACAGAAAATAAGAAAAATACAGCCTTTGGTATGGATTGCATCTCAGTGTCAAGAAAACAAAGATTCTTACCACTTGACAAGTAAGCCATTAATTGATGGAGAAAAGATTGAAACTTTAAACAACTTCATGTTGCTTGGATCCACAATTAACACCCTTGGTACTGGCAGTCAGGAAATCAGGAGACAGATTGTGCTGGGAAAGTTTGCAGCTAGGAACATCTCCAAATTATTAAGGAGCTATTTTGAGGGCTAAGGTGTGTCTGATTCATGGTCTTTCTAATCACTTGCTGTGCATCTGGGAGCTGGACAATGAATAAAGAAGACAGAAGAATTGATGCTTTTGAGCTGTGGTATTGGAGAAGAGCACTGAACATCACATGGACGACCAAGAGAACAAACAGGTATGTCTTGTAGAAGGTGCAACCAGAGTGCTCTTTGATGGGCTTTGCCTCACTTAATTCAGGCATGTTGTTAGGAGAGATTATTCCTTGGAGAAGGACATGATGCTCAGAAAGGTGGAGGGTCAGCGAAAGAAAGGAAGACCCTCAACTAGGTGTATTAACACTGTGATTACTGAAATAGGCTCCAATGTGTCAATAAGAGTGAGGATGGCACAGGAAAGGACAAGGTTCAGATCTTTTGTTCACAGGATCACTGTAGTCATATTGGACCCAACAGCACCTAACAGCATACAGTTGGATGCTTGGTGGAACACTCTGTTTCGGTTTCCTGTACACAGTGTAGGGGGCTCTGGTGGTGTAGTCTGTAGAGCGTTGCGCTGCTAGCCTAAGGACCACCTCTCTGGCAGTTTGAATCCACCAGCCACTTACAGGGGGGAAATGGGCAGTCTGTTCCCATGCAATTCACAGCTTTGGAAGCTCAGTGGAGAGCCTGTTTTGAGTGAACTCTGATTCAATAGCTATGGATAATAGACCATATAATAATAATCACATTGTCCTTTAGTCCTCCCACAGGCTATCACTGAATAATGTCTTTTTATTCTGTTTCTTGTCACCCACCCACAAACTCCTCCAGGCCTTCCAGCTCAGGCCAAGAAACACGCTGAGTCAGCCAGGAGCATCCTGCTGACCTGGAATGGAAACATGACCGCAAGCAAGGAGAGGAAGGAAATCGTGGAAACCCTGGTGGTGCTCTACTACACTCTGGGCATGGTCTCGCTTCTGCAGAACCGATATCCTCCTCTTCCCTCGGGTCCAGTGTCAGGGCCCTAGGCTGGACCTGCCAGATGGGTGCTTTTGCTTCAGCATGAGAGGTTAAGCCAGAACCCCGCAGCTCTGTTCCAAGACTCAAGCCAGTTAAGAACCTTTTATCTCCCCCTGGAACACGTCTCCTATGTCTGCTTCTACTTCATGTAGGTACAGAGTCCCCAGCGGTCTCCCTTGGGTTGCATCTCTAGCCCCAATTAGCCAGTTGAAAGATTCCTGAAGCTGTCATTCTCTACCTTGGTTACCCAAGAAAACTGACGTTGGGAATGTTGTAGAACAACATCATGGAGTCTGCTTGTTGTTGTGTGCACTGATTCAGAACTGACCCATAGCTGAACCTCGGGTGAGTTTTCAGAGGCAGTTAATCACACAGGAGGAGGTTGTCCATCCTTCTCTCATCAAGCAGCTGGTGGATTCATCCATGTGACTTCAGAATTGCAGCATAGCTTCTGATCACTAGGCCACCAGAGTTCCCTCAAGTCTGTGCTTAGTAAAGGCGGGGTGGGGGGGGGAGGTTTATTGTTTAGAGATATAGTATTACCATTTGTGAATGGAGGTATCACAGGCATTTACAGACTGCTTTGCCAGTCAGAGATCATGCGGGGCTTAAATATTACCAACAGTGGCAAGGGAGGGGAGAAAGAGCCCTGTTTAACACAGTGTTTAAATACTTGACTGCCAGGCTCAATGCAGATGTTTCAAACTCACCAGCCTTTCGTTGAGATTGGGGGAGGAAGGGAAGATAAAGCTGTTTGATTCTATAAAGATTAGCAGCCTTGGTAACCCTCTGGGCAGTTCTGCTCTATCCTCTGGCTCCTGTGAGTCACAGCCGACTCAACACAGTTAAGTGGTTGAATAGTAAAAACAGATGCTTCTGGCTAGTTAGGTCTTCTGATTCAATTTTCAAAGTAAACCTTTAGGGACACCCTCTAAAAAACTGCTGGAGGGTCAACTCAGAGTTGGTCCCTGCCTAAGCAGGACAATGAATTCTGAGTTTTCTCAAGGGACATGTGCAGGCAAGTTTATTCTAGTATACTTTCAATCTTTCTTCTGAAAGTAAGTAGTCCTTCCCCTGTTTACTCATCAGTAGTCATGGGTTCCCTTCCTAGAAACAGAAGTGGAACTCAGGACAACATAGAGTCAAGGTCAGACCTTGACAAAAGAACTCAGGAGAAAACAGAGTCGAGGTCAGGCCATTTCAGTTATGCCAAGTACAGTAGTGAGGGGGAAAGTATGAGAAGAATGAGGCCTGAAAGACTGTGGCAGGTGGTCGTGAAGGAGGGGAGGAAGTAGGGGGTCATTCAAAGTGCTTTTGGACAAGGAAGGCTGCACACTGTAATTCCCTGGAGAGCTTTGAGAATTACTGATCTCCGAATCCCACCACAGAGGCCTTGGTTTGCTAGGTCTGGGTGTGTGTGCATGGTAGTTTGCTAAAGCTCTTCAGGTGTCCAATCCTATTGGAAAAGGGTATCATGCTTCGAAGTGTGGAGGGTAAGCAAAAGAGAGGAAGACACCCATGAAGATGGATTGTCAGGTGACTGCAGCGATAGGCTCAGGTGTGTAAGATTGTGAGGCAGGATAGGACGAGATTCCAATCTGTCGTTCACAGGGTCACTACGAGCTGTACTAAATTTGAAAGCACCTAATAACAACTACAACAATTAATAGTACTGCTTTTGCAGCCAGCCAGAGGCCCAAGTGAAATACAGAGAATAAGCAGTTCTCCACCTCCCCCGAGGAAGAGAACGGCTGAATGTGCCTCTTCGAATAGCTTACAATTAGGTCTGCCTTTTGGGACCAGCTCCACTTGACACTGTGCAGGACATTTCATGTTCATGAGTGATGGTGGGCTTTCTGTGAGCCCATGTGACCCCCCTCTCTTTTCTCGGGTCCTCCCATACTCTGCTGAGTGCTCAGCGGGTAAAATCAAAGCTGTGTCCTCTGTTGCCCTCTCAGTAGGGCCACTGAGAAGGAGGGACTAGAAGGATCTTTGGAAATGCAGGGGATTTCCTTCCCTGCCTTTCACAAACCCCTGCCTTTGCTGGCACATTCCTTCTAAACGGCCCAGAAAGCCCCTTTCAGCAGAATTCGTTCCTCTCTTATTCTGCTCATAGGAACCAACTTGGGAAAGTAAATACTTGCTGTCACACAGGAGATGCCTCTAAAGGAAATTCAGTGTAATTTAAAGTTTCCATTCGTTTCTCCCACGGCCTGCCACCCCTGCCTGAATCAGGCAGCCACTGAAGGAAACCCAGGGCCCTTGTTCTTTCCTAAAGAATTCTCTCTTTGTGACAGCATGTGCTGGGGGAACAGAGGCCCTGACGGAGTGCCCATTTCGAACACTGCTCCGTTTCCCATGGGGCCTTTGTGTGTGCTTATCAAGTGCTGTCACTGGGGACTGGAGCTCTGTGTGTGCTTGCCATATTCCTTGACTCGTTCACCGGCAGAGAGGCCTACCTCAACCTGCAGAAGGCAGAGAGAAGCATAAAGGAGCGGAGAGAGGTAGATAAAAGAAACATGTGTGGAATAAAAGTCTCAGAGAAAGATATAAACATCGCTTTGGGCAGGTAAGCACTGGGCTTCGAGGTGCTGATGCTGTCAGGAGTGAGGCCTGGCTTACACCAGTCTCTGTATTCTTCAGTAGAGGAGAAATATTCAGGGGAGATAATGGGACACCCAAATATTAATAAACAAACTTGTATTTACTAAAGGCTGTTTGCATGTGGGCTCTGGTGGTGCAGTGGTCAAAGTACCTGTCTCCTTCAATTGAAAGGTGTGCCACTTGCCCAGGAAAGACGTGGCTGCCATCTTCTGTAGAGACCGCCAGCCTTGGAAAACCTGGAGGCCGGTCCTACTTTTTGTTTTCTAGGCTCCACCTTGACTCAGCAGTGGGTTCACGGTTTTGGATAAACAACGGTTCTTGGTGCTTTAAGTGCAGTGCCCATTTTAATCCTTGGTCACCATGAGGCCTTTGCTGTTGTTGGAATGTGCCATCATTTGAGCCCTGAATCACAGGGCCCCTGTGAACAACAGATATAGACCTTGCCTTGTCCACGCCACCCTCACGATCACAACTGTATGCAAGCCCACAGCCGCAGTCATGTGCCAGTCCATCTCACGATCACTGCCGTGTGCAAGGCCACAGCTGTAGTGATGTATCAGCGCATCACATGATCACCGCCATGTACAAGCCCACAGCTACAGTCATGTGCCAGTCCATCTCATGATCACCGCCATGTGCAAGGCCATGGCTGCAGTGATGTGTCAGCGCATCTCATGTTCACCGCCATGTACAAGTCCACAGCTGCAGTCATGCACCAGCCCATCTCCTTGAACTCTCTCACTGACCTGCTCTTTCCAGCATTGTCTTTTTTTTTGGGGGGGGGGATTCATTCATTCATTGTTGCACTATTTTCTCTACCCTCCTCCCCAGTTCATTCTTCTCCCCACCCCCCAATGTCTGTTTTAATTGTCCAATTGCCACAGTGCTTGTCAAAGCCAGTTCTGATTAATCTCCTTTCTCAGTATGTCCTTTGTCATTCCCTATCACTCCTCCCTGAGAGAAACTTCATCCTGATTCATAAGGAAAAGGGGATGGCGTATTCTCTTAGCTACTTCCTACTGAAAAGGGATGCTGTGGGTTTCAGGGTGAAGATCTTCTCTCACTACTCTAAAGGGCCCCTTTGGCAGTAGGAAACACATAGACTATTATGG